TAAATGCTGTTGGCAAGAAACTTAATATCGTAACTAAGGTTACTTGTATGATTGGCAAATTTGATGCGTAAAGGCCGTTCTACAATAGCGTGAGACGTATGCAGTAAGCTAATTGACTAGCCACAGTCGATTATTCCCGGACTGTAAGAATCCAATTGGTCAATTAACATGCTGCTTACGTCTTACTGCATATTTTACGCTACTGAATGGCTTCAAGATTGCAAATCGTAAGTGTATACTTGAACAATAACAATCAACAAGCGACGTGTGATGTACGCTCGCGAAATTCGTGTTCGCGCGTTGCGGGCGTATGTTTAACGCGTCTTGCGTTAGATTGAATTCCGGCGAGATATCGGGAGGTCTGATTTGTTCGATCGCCCGTCGCAAGCGTGTACACAGCGGGGAGGAGTTTGGAAACCGATTAGCAGTGTATTTCGAAGCATCAAAACCGTCGGATACCCCGTGCGCCAACGCGAAACTCCGGGCAGGCTTCGAACTTGCTGGTCGCACCACCGCGACATTTATTAACTTTACCAACGGGGAAACTGCCGCGAGTTTCTGCCGCGGCGGCGCCGGATTACACGGGGAATTAGGCGAACCGGGATTAACGTTATCCAATTTTCTCGTAGTTTTCGCTTCTCTAATATCCGTGGCGAAAAATAGATCGAGCCGTTGGATCGTGAGGATCCGTAAGAATCGCGTTTTTCTCTTCGCAGAACCATGTAATTGCTGAGCGTGCGCGCGTTAATTTCAGTTATCATCTAAAATTGTAATTTATTTTCACGAGATTCGAATTTATTTGATTCATTTATTTAATAATTTGTTAACAAGACTCATCTTTTTGATACAACGCGTCGTACATAAATTGTTCGTACAGAAAAATATCATTATACTGCTGAGAAAAGCGATTACTCGGTTTACTCTTCTTCTTCTAAGTAATGGTTATGTTTAACAAAGAATATTTTTTTCTTATTGATAGTCTGAAAATATGTTCACCACAAATTAAAAGAAAAAAACTTATTATCACGCGTATTTGAAAGAAGAATTTTAGTCTCTCTTCAAGAATATTGTAAAGTTTTATCGAAGAAAAGTTAGATTCAGTTACTTTAAATAAATAATCAAATTTTTTAAACGTAATATTCTTGATTAAAGTACTAAACTTACTAGGATTCAGAATATATTTTAAATAAATTTGATACTTATACGATAAACATGTGATATATTCTCGAATGTACAAGCTCATGAAATACTTGAAAACAAATAACATTTACTTGTAGATAGTGCGTATTTTTCTGTGTGTAATAAAAACATTTGCACTCTTTAAAGAACATTCTCATCTTCAAATCTGCAATTTGATCAATCGCGAGGAACGCGTTTTTAGTTAAAATCCCGTCGGAACGTTCGCTGCACCCTTGAAGATGGCGACGCACGCGTCGTAGGGATTCTCGTAGGGCAATCCGTGTTTCCAGTAGCGCGAGAAAGCGTCGAAGACGACATGGCCGCGGACGCGGCGGGAAACCGGAGAAGCTGTCAACGGAGCGCTATGCATCTGCCACTTATCCGAGCCTCCACCCTCGTCCCGGGCTGTACCTTTTTCCCCACAATGACGCTCCATTTCGTCACAATTATCGCCATTATTCGGCGCGAGAAGAGAGCGCGTTTTAACGCGAGCGCGAGGCGAACACAATGCTCCGTTTGTATCTGTACATCGTCGACGCATCCCCGCGTGCGTACACATGGAACGCGCATACACACGCACGCACGCACGCACACGTGACCCGGGGTTCGTTGCGACCACCGCTCGAAATCGACCGTCGATTCTTCCCTCGATCGCGCGGTTTTATTGTGTTTTGACAGCGGCGAGTCTGGTTTCGCGCAACCACCTCCGGTCGGCTTTACCGTCTCGCTGAGGATCTCCCCGGGAAAGAGATTGATCTTATCGACGCTCGAGTTTGCCCCGCGAATTCGAGAGCGCCTTACCTCGCAACCCTCCCTCCCTTTCTGCCTGCCGACGCTTTTCTCACCCTCCTCCCTGCCGTTTCTCTCGTTATTCCTCACCTCTCTCGCCTCTCCGGCTCCTACGGTTTCTCCGATCTCGCTTGGGCGACGGTAAATCACGCATCCGATCGGACCAGATCTAAAGTTACGAATCTGTCCGGGTCCTGTTTCGCGCGCGAGCAAATACGGCCGCTGGTTATTTCGAGGAGGGCCGCCTCCTTTGAAAGGCTAGCCCGGTTATCGCGCCTATCTACCCGCGATTTTCACTGTTGCCGATAATGCAATGTCCCGGGGTTTCACGTAGATCCCCGGGTGTCCCATCGTGGCGCGAAAAAGCGCGCAAAGTGGATTATGCCGGGGAAATTGCATCTTTTTACACGACGCGATATTCGCGCGAATTTGCCGTTAAATGCAGCTCTAAGAGCCGTACTTACGTTCAATATGTTCTTCGTGGGCTTTCTCCCTCCCTCTCTCTTCCTCTCTTGCTCTCTCGCATTTTTTCACTCGCAAATACGGATCCGTCCGCGAAAGCGGGCAAATTGGATAGTCATAATTCCAGGTAATTGCAGCTACATATAGCTACAAAGAGAAAACGTTTCGAAGACTTGGATCGTGGTAAAAGCTCACTTCACACCTTCCTCCAGGTGAAACGAGTTTTCTTGATTACACGATGCACGATACATTGTCGTGGGAAATACTGTTGCTCAAGAGGATATTTCTTCACTTTCGCAATTTTTGTCATTTTTACAATTCCATCTTCATACAATTCCGTTCAATGCGATGCGCTTGATTTGCGAATTCGCGACGATGAAGCCGCAATACGAACATCACTCCCCAACTCGAAAACTGCGTGCAAAACTTTAGCAGAATGACTCATCAAGTTAAAATTGTATACCTTGAGTTTTTATCGGCATTGGAAAAGTGAATTTGGTTAGATCTATACTAAGAAAAAATCACTCCAAAATTTATTTCTAGGCGAGACATGAGATTTATTTCACAGAAATAAGGTGTATTTATTTCTGCGAACTAAAGCTTATATCTCACAAATAATTTTGTTTCCCAATATACCTGACAATGGACAACCAACGTGTTCTGACTGAAGGAAAAAAATGTCTACTTCTCACGAACCAAATTTGGTCCTAGTAACTAAAAATTCCGTTTCCTTTAACCAAAACGTGCACAATTGTTCATTAGATTCAACCAAGCTTATTTTTCAGTGTCTTAAGCTAGCTCGACTTAAAAAGCCGTTCTGTTTCTGATTGATGACAAACCACTCTCTAATAAAGAAAAAATGTAATAAAGAAAAAAAAGAAATAATAATTTAGATAAGGACTTAAGGTATAAAAGATTAGCCCGTATAAAATTACAAGTCCGCCATTCGGCTGACGATGAGGAGAGTTCCCGACATTTGCCGCGAGACGACGCGTCGTAGTATCGTTATCTGCAGCCGTTGCACGTTCGCAGGATCTACCGGGTGGCACGTAATTCCGGCAGTGAAACATTTACAGTTACACATTCGCTTTCGCCGTGACGCGTCGATGCACGCAGTCAACGTTGCTGTATTTCCGTTGCGACGGGACTCAGCGATAGAGACGCGAATAGCCGCGATGGGAGTTAGTGGGGACAGGTACTCCGGGTGCGCGGAGAGACGGGAGGAAGGGGAACGAGGGGTAACGACTGGCTGTTATTTGCAACGAGTCGCAACAATTGCAACCCGAGCCGATCGCGCGCAGCGCACGTCGGTACACCTCCGGTTAGATAAACGCCATATTGCTGCTGCTATTGCGGCGGCCACCCTCTCCCCCCTCCTTCCTCGCTCCCTGCCCGAAACCCCTCTCTGCCTGCGCGTCCCGATTGAAAATAGTGTTTTTGTGCAAGCCGAAACGGCAGATATGAAACCAGCATGGCGGATGCTTACAAATAGTTGCGGGGCGGCGACTACATATATGTATAAATGCACCCGCCGAGTACCCCGGGTACTCCTCGCGGTCTTTTGTCCGCGAATCGCGCGCGGCCCGAAAGGATTTTCCGGCGCGCAGAGGGTGCAGCGGATGTGTGAGAGAACGATGGGGCCGGCGATTCCGTCCGATCCCTCCTTTCTTGCCTTCAATCTTCCCCAGCCGCGAGGCGTCTTTGACGCCGGTGTGTGTGCGCATGTATGTGTGTGTGGTGGGTTCTGTCGACTCCACCCGAAAGCCCCGATTTTTGCGTCGGCCGTAAAAAGACCGAATTGCGAGATGAAAAACAGCAGTCGGGGACACGATGGCGAGTTACGTCGCAGTGAGAAGTCTTCACGACGCCGGCTAATCAGCGAGATGACCGATCTTGAGATTCTCGTCGCCGAGCTCCGCCACGGCGACAGAGGGACGCGTGTACTACTGGTCGAGAGTTGTCGCGAGAGATATAGTAGACGGCGAAAAGGACAGAGAGAGAGAGAGAGAGAAAAGAGACGGACGGAGTGAAGGAGGGGGAGAGCAATGCCATTTCCGAAAGCCACAGTGCAGCACGCTCTGAAAACGGGAAACACGCATCGATCGTCTGGACTGCCCGGCACAGGATCGGCTATGATATCGAGCTACGTTAGGCCACGTAGATAAGAGAGACGGCGGCGGCCGCACCACCATCAGGGCCGTCACCATCTCCACCACCGCCCCCGGTGGCCAGATTAGGTTGTCCGGGATCAATATCGGCGACGTCGTAGGTGTGGCGGTTGATGGTGGGTACCGTTACCGTACCGTCCTCCGCGCTGCCATTGGTCGACGTACCGGTTCTCGGGCTCCTTTTTCCGCGGCGGGTCCCGCGCCGGGCGCTGTGCCGGGGTCCCGCGCGTTCTTGCCCGCGCTCGAATAACCCGGGTCCCCCTTCTCCGTGGCCGTGTTTGCAGTGCGTGGTGGGTGTTACCCGACGCGGAGCCGGCGCCGCGAGTGGGGCGAAAGCCATCGGCGAGGCGGTCGCACCGCCGAGATCGTAAATCATGACCAGTCGGCCGCTCGGAGCGCATCGCGACAAACAGGGTGAAAACTGTTGGAAAACAGGCAGCACCGCGATCGCGAGCAGTCGCCACCCCCGGAGCGACGTCAATTCACCACTCGCTCTCGCGCGTACCCGCCCGGGTTAGTCAGTGTTCCGCGACCCGACGACACGGTGTGCCTCGACTCGATCCGCCGCTCGGCCCCGTATGACCACGTAGCGAGCCTCCGGCTCGAAGAGTCGTCCAGCGCAGAGTGCCGAACGATCTCGCTACGTCCGATCGATCCACCATGTGCAGTAACGAGAGCCCGCCGCCGGCGAAGGAGCCGCTCGCCGTTGGCCTGGGCAACCCCATGGCCGGCTTCCTGCCGGGCCTCGAGCACTACCGGCTGCAACTGTACCACTACGCGATGGCGGAGCGGCTGCGACTGGCCCAGCAGCTGCACCCCCAGCATCCTGGTGTCGGTCACCCGCCGTCGGGCGCACCGGCCTTGAGCATGAGTCCGGGTTTCCCGGCGCCGTTGCCGCTCTACCCGGCTGCCGCCGCCGCCGGCTACCCTGGCCGCCTGGCGCTCTCGATGGCGTTGCTGCACCCGCATCACCAGCGGATACCGGAGGAGCCGAAGCCGCAGCACAGCTACATCGGCCTGATCGCGATGGCGATACTGTCGTCGCCCGAGAAGAAGCTCGTGCTCTCCGACATCTACCAGCACATACTCGAGCACTACCCGTACTTCCGCACCCGCGGCCCCGGCTGGCGCAACTCCATCCGGCACAACCTCTCGTTGAACGACTGCTTCGTCAAGTCCGGCAGGAGCGCCAACGGTAAGGGCCACTATTGGGCGATCCATCCGGCGAATCTCGAGGATTTCCGCCGCGGCGACTTCCGCCGGCGCAAGGCCCAACGGAAGGTACGCAGGCACATGGGCCTGGCGGTGGACGAGGAACCGGACAGTCCCAGTCCGCCGCCCTTGCCGGCCACTCCGCCGCCCCCGACGGCCCTCGGGCCCCCGGTGGCCGCGCAGCCCATATCCGGCCTGTGGACGCCGCACCATCATCATCAGCAGCAGCCGCAGCAACAGCACCCCTTCCAGACGCTGCGGCAGTCGTCGTTCCAGCCGTCGAGAAAACGGCAGTTCGACGTGGCTTCCCTCCTGGCGCCGGACGACCAACAGCACCAGATCGTCGAGTCCGACCCGAGCAAGACGCGGCGTTTCAGCTGCAGCGAAGACGAGCTGCACGACCTGCCCGATCAGGACGAGGAGGACGTCGACGTCGACGTGGTCGCCGACGCGAACGCCTTACCGTCGCCGGGCACGCCGCCGTCGGCCAGCCCGGACTCGAAGATCTTGTCGCCGGCCGGCCATTGGAACCACCAGAGTGTACAGAGCGGCGGCCAGCAGCCGCAGCAGCAGCAACTCTCGGCCGTACACCTGCACAATCATCTGCACGTGAGGAACTACTACATACCGGCCAATTCCGGCGGCGGGTCCAGCGTCTAATGACGAGTCCGGGCCAAGGTAGTGTTGTCTCGTGTGTCCTCGTGCGCACTTCGACGACGGCGTCCTAACCCGCTGAGTGAGGTCCCCCCGACGGGGGGAGATCGAAAACGCGAGGGAAGATCATTCAGAGGGATGGCTAATTTCTGCCGAGCAAATGAATATAGGATGTTTGTTAAGTACCGTTCAATGTTTCAGGAATTTAAGCTCATTTTGTGGAGAAAAGCTCATTACTTCGTAAAATGACCTTAAAATTCAAGTTCTAAAGTACTGGACGGCACTTAAGAAACACCCTGTACATTTGTTTATCATCGCGACGTCACGAGAACTTTGCTGTCCCTCGGAATTATTTTTCTCCGTGAACGTAGTCACTCTCGAGGACGGAAATGCCGGCGTTCGAAAGCGCGAGGCGTATCCGGTGAATCGGGCACTTCGGGGAGGAGGATCGAGTCGAGAGCGAAATCGGAAGGACACGAGAATTCCGCAAGGACGTCCGCGAAAGATTCTCTTTAGGCGTCTCTTTCTCTCTCTCTCTTTCTCTCTCTCTCTCGAAGATTCGCGTCGTCGAGGAATGCCGTGGCGCGGAAGAACACGCGTGGGTGATCTCCGGACTCGGCGGCAAATCGGCGGCCGATGGTGCCTCGGGTCCAAGTCGACCCACGCGAGAAAACGATCGATCTGTCGCCGATTGTGTCTCCGAGGTTGCGGGAGTCGCGCTCTGTCGCGTGTTTCATTAGCGTTCGACGAAATGGCGTGCGTCCTCACGTCGCCGTGGCCGGGAACGCCGCGCGGTGACGCGAGGTTCTAGTCCGGATCACTCGTCGTTTCGTCGGGACTCGCGAGGGAAAGGGAAGGAGAGGAGATTTTCTGAGGAGATCTAACGTTAGCGCGTTGGAGACGCCATCGGAGACCCCACCGTCGTGTCGCAGCGCTAAGATCATCGTCGGAACACCTGCGCTTGCGGGCGTTTCATGTTCGTCGTCGATTTTCGCCGCCGATCGAATGAATTCGTTGCCGCCCGCTCGAGTGGAAAAGGCCGCGCATTCAACCGATTCTAAGCTTCGTTTGTCCCGCACAAAAGTTACGTGTGACGCGTTATCTCGGCTCGAAAATTAGGCGGCTCCGATCAGCGTTGAGTGTAGGTTCGAAATACGGATCGAGAAGCAAGCAGACAACGTGCGATTCTCGAAAGACGTTAATACGGACTTCCGAAAACGCGTCCCAGTTTTGAATGAAATTAAAAATTCAGCACGAACATCGTGCATATTCAGTTCTAATTGGTCACTCGTTTAAATTGGTACTCGCATTATATAATATTAAATATTTATTTAACTCTCGAATAATAAAGTTCACGCAGTCACAGATATAACAAAATGGATCGGACCCGACCAGTAGAAACATTTCGTAGTCTTTTCAACTAATTTCTTCGATTACATATTTTTTGTTCTCACGATAAGTTAAAATACTTAAATGTAAATAAAATATATTGCAAAATATGTAAAATACCTGAAATACAACGCTTCGCAAGCGCGGAAGCATTAAAATATGAATTCGGTCGAACCCAATCTTGTTATTCGATGATTTAAAGTTATCAGATGAAGGGTTCTCAATTTTTGTCGAACGTGCGCTTTAAAATTTCAATTTTTCGAGTACCAACGCCCGCTCGCGGACACTCCGTACGCTCCTCGTTCTTCTCCCGAGATTGACAAGTGAGATCTTACGCGCGGACAACGGCTGGCTTCCTGCTTCGAAGCACAATCGACGCACTTCTCTCCGAACAAATGGAGATCACTTGAGTCTGATCATTCGAATTCGGCGATTATCGAGCTCCGGTTACGCGCGGCGAACTTATACGTGTACTATATAGATAGATGTCTAAGAGAAGAGTATGTATATAGACTGGAATTCTCGACGGTAGAATCCCAACGCGAGACATCCACTCGTTCGCGGTGCGATCAGCCGCGATCCACGACGGCTGATCGCTCAACGATCGATCCCACACTGAGAGAGAAAATTCAATCCCAATCGAAGAAAACAAGATTTAATCTTGACTTCCGGGAAAATCGTTCATCCCGATGGAAATCGCGGTCGTTTTCGGCGCCAAATATGCTATCTATTGTCCGAATGAGAAAATAATGTCGCAATATGCATATAAAGTTATCAACGATAACGCTATAGAAATATTTTGCCACAGTAGTGTCACCATCATCGGTGACACTCTTGCTAGGAGACTCGTTTTCCTGACTACGATTATGCGCTTACGCAGTTGCAGTCGCGTAAATACTGCTTTTTTTTTTCCTCAGTGTGCATAATAACGTGACGTGATGTTGCCGATTCTACCGGCGAGTTTAGGGATCTTTGTAAATACGAGAATCACACGCGAAAGAACGTTCGGGCCCGTTCGTCGCCGTGCCGACACACGGCGACGCATAGAAATGCGTTGCACGCGGGGCGTTACGTCAGACTGATTGCGATCTCGGCTGTTCAAAGTGTAATATAAAAGTCGTTTAAGGTACCTAAGGTAGAGCGAGATGATATCTCTCCCCGCTGTATAATCCACCATCGTCGGTAGAGACGAACACGAAGATATATTCTGTACAAACCCGAGTATACCTTTCTGACCCCTCCCCCTTCTCGNTCTCTTGTATGTATGTATATGTATCGATGTATACGTACCTGCGTATATATAAATCAGACAACGTCCGGAAGCGATCGGGGGAATCGATCGCCTTGCCGGCGTCACACCGAGAAACGCAAGACCATTTTTTAACAGTTACCTCGTAAGCGTACGCCGGCGGCCTGTTATTGTCTCGACGCAACTGAACTTTAATAAAGTTTCTGTTCCCACGACACGCGATCTCCATGCTGATTGATCTCGCCTTCCTCTACTATCGTCCGCCTTCTTATCCCCGAAAGAGAGAGTTCTCCGTCGAAAAATTCCGTTCTCGCTCAAGGCTCCTCGTTGTCGTCGTCATCATCGTCGTCATCGTCCTCGTTGTCGATGATTACCGGTAATCGCTCCGGTGATCGACGATCTCGCTTCCTGCACATTCTGCGCGTCCGCTACCCGCGCTCGAAAAGTCCGAGTTGACAGAAACATTCCGCGCGTATCCGCGCGGAGGCCCCGTTAAGCGACGCGCGGAGAGTGCCGGAGAAATCTATTTGTCGTGATAACAAACGGCCGGACTCGGCCATTAGTTAATGTACACACGAGCCGAACCAAACGAACGTTTGTTGCACACGCGAGCTGTTGCGCGCGCCGCGCGCGATCGCGAAAAAGAAAAGGAATCGTCTCCCCGTCGCCGCGGCACGGGGACAAGTGCATACTTCTTCGCATCTTCTATTTATCCGTGATTTCACGCGCGCGCGTTATTAACGAGTCTCGGCAGAGATGCTACGAAGCCGAAGAGGGGGAAGCTAATTTATCCGTGACTCTGGTAATTAACAAGCGGAGAGCAAATAAAGAAACGTGGAACGCGCGTAATATCACTAGTCGAGGGAAGTTTGATTTGTGTAGAATCCGTATTAATACATAATCCAGTAAATACGAGATGCTACATCTTGAAAAACACACACACACACATACACACACGCAATTCATCACACATATCACGCTTTCCATCTAAGTTGAGAAACTTGCGAGTTTAAAAGCAGGTTCGGTAAGATTCGCATTAACACGTAATTGTATTTTATCGCATGACACGATCTAGTTTCTCATGTGCATAGACCGGTATAATAGCTTTAACATTTACCGGGCCTCGAGCCGTTAGAATTTTTCGATCGCACACATCGTGCCTATATATTCATGCAGCATAACTGTTCATTATTCAGGGAAGTAGCAACGATATCTTGCGGATTATTTCTTTTTTTACATGTAATTTTATATTTTACGTTACAAGTGCCATTTCGTTTAAATAATATTTTAGATATCGTTTTCTCGATTGACCAACAGTCGTGCGATAATACGTGAACATAATGTATGTGATCGAAAAATTTCAATGATCCTAGGACCGATAAATGTAAAGCCTAATACGTTTAAATTTAAGTATTATTTACTTGTTCATTCATAAATGGGAGAGCCCTTTGGTTACAAAAACGATACGAAAATATTGAGAAAATCGTACAGAAAAGTAATACATAGAATAGAAATGAATAAGAAATAAGCAAAATAAAATAAAAAGGATTGGATTATCCATGCAATAAGCCCTCGATGAAATTATTCTAGGGAACGATGTCGAACGCGCTCAATACTGATTCGTTGATTGTTATAATAAAGAAGCCATATATAACAGAGCAACCAATATTTGGGGCGAACCAAAGAGCAATGCAATAATTTAATGATATTCGAGGTAATATGATTATTGTTTCGTTTTTCGCTTACGAGCCATTTCCTTCTTTTTCACACGAATCATACTTACCTTTCTCTTTAGGAAATACACTATTCGCCGTTAATAAACGGGAGAAATAAATAGATAAATAAATTATGTCGATCGCACGATGATATGCACGATGATATCCCGCTATAATCGCGTTTTTACCGACGATACCTCGTATCGTCGAACGTTAACGCCAATCGAGGTCGAGATCGGGCGAATCGACTCGCGTCGGAAAATAGAAACGGCTATACTTTACGCGAAGGGGGAAGGCGGCGGGTTCCCAGGTTCGACGAGCGACGACTCAGATTCCAATGCGATAGGCTTTCGTGCTCTTCTGTACAATCATTTCCACTCACCTCGTTAAGTACTTTCGCGATCGTGCGTTTCGCCCCAACGGTGTGTAGCGGATACACGGCTATCGTCAACGGGACGGCCGCTCGCGAGGATAAGGACTCGGTTCTCTGTAAAACATTAACATACAAGGATGACAGCCGGCGAATAGCGATGTTGCAAATAGAGTCCCGGCTGACGATGACGGCACGTTTAAGCAATACCGCGGCTAACAATCGTCGCAACGCGGGACGGTGATAACCGCCGGGTAACCGCCGACGACGTCCCACATCATGCTCGTGCTGGTAACGAGCGCGAGGTATAACCTCGGTCTAAAAAAGCACGATCAGCGCAATTGGGATGCATACTCGACACGTCGCGATACATATTAACGCGTCGAGTTTGCTCTTTTTTTTTTTTCAACGTAATCTCGGAGTAACGATGCATTATGTATGAAACGGATGAGGAGGGGGAAGAGGGGAATGATCGCAGCAACAAAGTGATGGAGAGACACGCGAATATACGCGGGACGTAAACAGCGGAATTATAAGCCTGGACCGATGACGAAAACAGGGATTAGCACCTTCGGAAAATGTCTTAAGCCTTAAAGGGTTAAAAACGCGCCGAGGTTAATGCGCTTACTTTGACATTTAGAGAGAGAGAGAGAGAGATTCACGCTAGATTCTTTCGTTCCGCATTTTTTCATTGTCCGCTGGTTCGTGACGGGCACTTTCCGTTTCGCCTTCGGGAGATCGTGCCTCGTTCACTCATTCGAGACTTTAGCGACGACGACGACGACGACGATGATCACGACGAGCCCGACGAAAAAGACTGTCGCGTTGGTGGCATCAGGCTCGTGCTGAGCACGGTGTAAGAGGATAATACCCGCCCGGACTGTTTATCGCAAATAATTTCACTGGCAAATCCGTTCTAATGGCCTGCGCACTAACGCCCGGGCCGCAGCCTGCGTAAGACAAATCCACGGTCCCTTGCGGATAATCTGCTTGTTTCCCTCAAACGCTCCCTGAGTGGATATCGCGTTTTCCTCGATACGTACGTTAAATAAATCGCGATCGTCGCGTCGATTTCAGTTTGCCTAGTATCTCGTGACGGGAGAGGATGAAAACGGTAAGGAAACGGGTGAATCGGTCGAACGCTGTGTCTAACTAAATTTATCTCTGCGATCGCGAGAAAGGTGATGCGACAAAAAGCGATATTATCGAAAACGGATATTTGCACACGGAATGTGCATTTTTCACGCAAAGCGTGCGAAAAGCTCGGAAATTAAAATCCCGATTGATTCCTAAATGATACTTTCATTAATCACGAGCCTGACAAACGCGCGACGGCTTCCATTTGTCACGGCACGCTTAACGCGCGAAATTTTCATTAATGACGCGCTCGAATTAGTTGCATATCCGATGATATCGCGAGCTGCCGGTGAAACGTCGGGCACAGGATTTAGCTGCGCAATCCTGTCGGCGTGTATTTATCGACGAGCGTTTTCGTGGCGTCCCATTGTCTCTCGATTCATCAAATGAAGCCTCGCAGGTGATCGCCAAGCGAGCAACTACAAATCCTTGACGGGGAATACTGTTCAACGACTACGACGACGGGGACGACGATGACGACGACGACGATGGGAAACCCGACGAAGGGGAACGAAAGCAATTTGTTAAATATTGCTTGCGACAAAGTAAACGGCACAAACACCGGAGCCATAGCAGTGCCTGATTTAAGGAGACTACCTGCCGACGAGCGCCACGCTGCGCCAATATTATATCATCGTTTGCTCACGTATTTATAAATCTTCTCCGAAACGTCGGAGAGAGAATAATCATCAAGGGAATTCTCGAACTCGAACGTTCGTCTGATGAAGCAGCCATGGAATTTTGTTTCGTGTTTTTAACTTACCGTTGAGCAACGTATTTTACTGTGTCGCACAACTAAGATTACCAATCAAAACCGATATTATTTAGTTATATGAGAATTAATTTTATCTTTTTTAAACCAACGACATGAAAATCTACGTACTCTCTAAATTCCTTGGAGTGAAATCTCACTCAAGACGAGTAAAAATCCACTCGAATTCGTGTGACTCGACTGTCACTCTATTTTCCGAGTGGAATTTCACTCGAAGAAACTTGAAAGGAAGTTTCCTCGTGCATCCTACGAAAATTTCGAACGACACGAGTTTATCCCAATTGAACGAGATAATACGGTCCTTCTTCAGTTTACCACGGGTGCCGATGTGCCGCGGAAGATTTCTCCCCGTGCGCATTTATACCGAGGAACGGACAACAACGAGCAAGATAGAAGTGTCCGTCATGTCTGCGCGCGAGATCGCAGCAGCAGAGAGAGGCTCTGTTTGTGTTTGCTGGCGGTGGCCGGCGAGTTTTCGCGCTCAAATCTTTGCGTTCACGGATACGTGTGTTTAGAGTTTCCGAGACGGCGCACCGGCTTTCCCACGGAGTGGCGAGGGTGTTGGAAAAACAGTCGACGGCGTTTACACCCGCTCGCGACCGTCTTGTGCAGTCTATGCAAACTCCGCTCCGGTTTGTTATTCCAAACTAGACAGCCGCGCTGTCGGCCGGAGTTTTCGAATATTTAACAAATAATGATGAAGCGATCCGATATATACTCGCGAGTCTGTCTATGTGTGCGGAGAAAAGTGGTCGGGAGGGAGGATATTCAAAACAGGAAGGGATCTGCCAGCTTCGTTCTATTTTCACGTCGCTCACGGGGCCGAGTATTCTCGATCCCGCGAGATCTTCCCAGCGATACGTTCCTCGGCAGCGGGCCAGCATCAGGATCCGCGTGATCGGCGGCAGCGTGAACGCCAGGGCCCCTCTACGACATTATAGCTAACCCACAGGCGATGGGCATTGTGCCGGACGTATTTAGAGCAGATTGCCGGATCGGAC